CAGATTCTGTGTGTGTGTGTGTGTGAGTGTGTGTGTGTGTGTGTGTGTGTGTGTGTGTGTGTGTGAGCTCATGTGTATCTCAGGAGGCTTGGACAAGATCCCTTTTTTTCTTAGACTTGGACATGGTTCTGGAGTGATCTGGTTTTGGTTCTGCTCCAACAAGGTCATACTGTGGCCTGGTCTGATGTTGATAGTCAACAGAAGCACATGTCAACTGCTGACAGGCTGACTGGCAGTGGCTGCCTCCCACTTGCTAGCTGGCACACCCAGGCCCCCTTTCTCCACACAGCTGCAAATCCTGCCACTGCCTGACCCCTGATTACATCTGAATGCATGTCTCTGGCTCATTAAAGAACATCTGTCACCAAGTAACAAAATTACCACTGCAAGGCCACAAACAGCCTCATCTCACCTCACCTCAGGGGTGGGAGTAAAGGCAGGCAGTGCTGGCTTCCAGAAACTGATTTTTTTAGACAAGGTCTCACTATGTAGCTTTAGTTGGCCTGGAACTTGGTATGTAGACCAGGTTGTCCTTGAACTCAGAGATCCACCTGCCTCTGCCCCTTGAGTGCTGGGATCACCATGTCCCACTAAAAGGTGACTTTGTAACCTGGGTATGAAGAGCAGGAATTGACTGAGAGGCAGCAAAGACCATTCTTTCTGAAAGATTGAACTAATATTGGCTGAGGGCATTCCACAGCTCTCTGTGTCCTGTTTCATTTAAATCTTGTAGCCCCACTGGGTAAGAAATAGCACCGATGGTGACAGGTTTACATGTCATCCATGTGAGATTGATTCCCTGGTGCCCAAGCAGAGTTGAACATTATTCCCGTTTCCAAGGCCCGGTGGCCAGCAAGTGGCTTGCCGGATTTGACCCCCAGGAAGTATGTCTTGGGACCCCAGACTCCTACTATAACAAACCGTACTCCCTCTATTTTTGTCCTTATGTGTGAATGTATCTGCCTGTCTGTGTCTACGCATGTGTGGTGCACGTGGAGGCCAGAGGACAGCCTTTGGTGTCGTTATTCAGTCACCGTCCACCCTTTTAAAGACAGGCTCTCTCACTGGCCTGGAGGCTTGTCAAGTAGGCTAGACTGTCAGGTCTGCGAGGCTCAGCGATCCATCTGTCTCCACCTCCCTGGTGCTGGGGTTACAAGCATGAGCTGCTGCACCCAGCTTTACATGTAGGTTCTGGGGATCAAACTCAGGTCCTCATGCTTGCAAGGCAAGCACTTCACCGACTAAGCTCTCGCCCCAGTCCTCACTGTAAAATGGCACACTGAGGGCTCTTGTACTTTTCCACAATCCCATGGCTCTTAAGGATCTATGAGGCCAAGATTCAAACTCAGGACCTGGTGTGGAGCTCAATGTAGAACACTTGTTTGGCTTGTGCAAGGCTGTAGCCATGTTTCATCCCCAGCACCACACACAAACAAAACCAAACAGCATGGGGCTCTGACGCCACTGTCCCATGACTTTAGCCATGAACTCCGGGAGCCCATGTGGAATGCTACTGACTGCTAACTTACTTTCCCCTTGTGAGAGTTCTTAGATCCTAAGCCAAACAACTGGGAGCTTTTGAAGCTAGATGGCAGACATGAAGGCTTGCATGGCACTCCCCTATTCCTGAGAGGTGGCCTGGCTTCATCAAGAGCAACTCCCGGATGAGAACATGGGAGCCACGGTTGCAAGGACCAGGACTGAGCCCTGGCCAGTGAGTGACTCTAACCTGCCAGAGACCCAGATCCCCTGGGGGCTTATTACACAGGCGCTCAAGTCTCCGCCCCAGAGATCCTGATCCTTTCCTAGGTGCCAGCGGCTAATAAGCTCCCCAAGGACCCTGGTCCACAGGCGGGTCTCAGAACTGCCAGTTAATGAAGCAGTAAAGCCCAAACTGGGTGGGAGTTGAGTCCAGAAAAAGGTAGCAGAGAGAGGCAAGCAGGATTCTGCCAGTTCCCCTGGTAGCAGGGCAGGTAGAAGCAGCTGATCTGGGTAGATGCTGAACACCTGGGGTTAGCACATCACCCAGTCACGAGGTCATTAGGCTCTGCTAAGAGCAATGGCTCACTGAACCATCCCTGCCATTGGAGTGGACTATCACAGAACTCCCACAGTAGCCCAGGCATGTGATTAGATCCTGTGCCCTCTTCTTACAGGCGGGGATACTAGATAGGGGAGGAATCGCAGTGACCAGAGCCTTCAGCCACCAGGCAGTGGGTGGGGCAGGGGACCTGTGGTCTGTCTCTGGAGCTTACATCACCCCCAGCACTGTTAAGGAGCTGCTTCCATGAGATGGGGACAAAGAGGACCTGGCCTGGCTTGAGGGTACAGAGAGGCCCACAGCTGCAGGGCAGGGTGAGGCCAAGAGACGGGCACCCCTGAACAAAGATGGGGACAGAACAAAGATGCTACTTGTAGGGCCAGCTTCCCACGCCGGGGTATTCCAGAAGGTATTTACAAACACTGGTGTCAAGGGCCATTCTAGTGGTGTGTGTGTGTGTGTGCACAGAGACTAAGTGCTACAACCTTGACCTCCTGGGCCAGAAATGGGGCAAATGGGGACTCTGCTTCTCCAACGATAATTTAATTAGGGTTAATAACCTGGCCTGAGAGAACACACCTGTGTGTGTGTGTGTGTGTGTGTGTGTGCGTGTGCATGTGTGAGTGCGCACACACACATATGAAAGACTCCATGTGAAAGACTCTTTAAGAAACCACCTCTGACATCACATGTATGCCTAAGAATGAAGTCAGTTCCAGGCAGAAGGGACATCATCAGTCATGGCTCTGAGGCACTAAGAAATGTACCTCACTGGAGAAATGGCCAGGAATTCACTCTGGCTGCACAGATCAAGGGTATGCATGAGCTAGGGAAGCCAGATCCTGTGTCACTATCACGGTGTCAGCCCTGAGTGAGCAAACAAATGGTATAAACAGTCTGGCAAGTCTGGCAAGGGTGCCTGGGACTTTGTTTCTTGAGGACAGGAAACCAGACTGTCTTCAGGGAGATGCTCATGAGATTAAGGGGTGAAGCATCTTGTCCCAGGACAGTCCTGGATTTGAGTGTGTATATATATGTGGGTCTTCCCCACAGGCAGTTCCTCTGTCTGGCTGAGATACAATCAGGTCACCACAGGCATCTTCAAGGTGATTTCCAGTTTCTACATTTTTTAGGTCCCTTCTTTGAGGATGTGAATGAAGATAAACTCCAAAATGGGAAGATGTCAAAGTTTGCAAAGCGATTAGTCTATTTTCAGTTTCCTAAAAATTCACCACAGATTATTTTGGATGCATTAAAAAAACCCATGAATTTTTGCTTGTTGCCAAAAACTTTAAGTATCACAAGAATATACACTTGTAAAGTAGGAAGTCTGGGTGTGGTAGCACACACCTTTAGTCCCAGGACTCAGGAGGTAGAGACAGGCAGATCTCTGTGAATTCAAGGCCAGCCTGGTCTACATAGTGAGTTCTAGGACAGCTGGGGCTACAGGGAGACCCTGTCTCAAAGAGACTAAAAAGCTCCCCAAACAAAAAGCTAAACCAAAACAAAACAAAGAGTGGGAAGTCAGTTGCTCCTAGCACCAGAGGATCTAGTGGTAAACATTCTCTGAGAGTGAGCTAGAAGCCAAGTCCAATGTTTGTTTTGGCCAATGATGTTTTTAAAAATGGGAAAATTGGGGACTGGAGACATGGCTCAGTAGTTAAGAGCATTGGCTGCTCTTGCAGAGGACCCAGGTTCAGTTCCCAGCACCCACATGGCAGCTAACAACCATCTGTAACTCCAGTTTCAGAGGCTCTGACACCCTCTTCTGGCCTCTGCAGGCACTGCATGTATGTTGTGGACTTACATACATATAGGCAAAACACACATACACATAAATAATAAGCAGATAGATAAATGAATTAATTAACCTTAAAAAACCAACCAAACAAACAAAAGAGACTTAAGACTTGAAATTTTAAAGATACCACAAACTTGTCCAGGTCAAGACTTTACATACGGTCTTGCTCCATCACCGAGGGGACAGAACCTCTTATGAGCTCAGCACTTCCTTGTATGTCATCTGATGCCCTTTGCTGACTCATCCTGTTGGGTCCAGAACTTTTATAGTTTCATATTATGTACTGAATATTTTCCTTATTGGTTTTCTTGCCCAGGCTGGCCTTGAACTTACTATGTAGCAGGGATGTTTTTGAACTCCTGATCCTCCTGCCTCTACCTCCTGAGTGCTGGGATTACATGCCACCATGCCTGGCTATGTTAAAATGTTTAAAGAATTTATTTTTAACATGTATGAGTGTTTTACCTGTGTATATATAAGTGTACTACATGTGTGCAATGCCCAAGGGACCAGAAGAAGGCATCAGATTCCCTTGAAATAGAGTTATAGATAGTTGTTAACCACTATGTAGGTGCTGGAAACCAAACCTGGGTCCCCTGCAAGAGCAGTCAGTGCTCATAACTGCTGAACCATGTCTCCAGCCCCCTTTATTAAAATTATTGATGCATCTGTAACTTCTTTTGGCAAATTTCTGGGCATAGTGGAGAATATGGTCTCTGCAACCCTGGCAGTGGGATGTGAGGGTCATCCATGCTCAATTATGGATTTAAGAAAACCAAACGCAAGATGGTTTTCTGTTTCTTCACACAAAGAATGTAAACACGAGGCTCACATACATGCTCCCCTTGGACCCATCGCAGACCACAGACTTCATCGCAAACACATTTCCTGGAAGCACTTGTTTCTGTTTATGGAGTTTTGGCTGTTTTTTGTCCATTTTGCTTAAACACATGACATTTTCACTGTTTATGACATGTTCACAGGCAGGGTTTGAACCTCAAATTTCCAAACTTGGTGCAGAAGCTGCTTCCCAGTGGAGCCTGTTAAGAATAATGTATCAGACAACTGAAGGGTTAGGCCCTGGGCACGTCTTTTTAACAAGTTCCATGGAGGTGCTGTGTACAGCTGGCCACCTCTGTCCCCCACACCCCATGGTACCTGTGATCGTCTGGGTCTCTGAAGTGATGGTCCTCGTGGTAGTCTGAGTCTGGGTGGACGGCACGGTCTCCTCTGAAACAAACTGGACGGTACTGGGGGCTGTCCCTGGAGTGCTGGTCAGCTGGCAGCCGCTTTGCTTATGTGCCACAAAGGTGTCCAGGTTGTTAAACTGCTGCTTACAGATGCCACAGATGTGGATATCCGGTGTCAGCTCCACCAGCACCGTGGTACCGCCTGGAACTCCACAGGACAAAGGGAAAGTTGAAGATTAATTCCAAACTGACCGACTTCATGGCAGGAGGAAAGGGCAGGGTGGCAGCCATGGCTGGTGGCTGGCCCTGTGTCTTTCTTGCAGAGAATCTAAATTCCATCCTAGCAGCGATATTCCTGGATGCCAGTAACAGCTTAGGCTCCACTAGATAGATTTTGGTTTATGACAGCTCAGTCAGTAAAGTGACTGCCTTGCAAACAGGGGGACCGGAGTTCAGTCTCTAGAGCACACTTAAAAGCCAGGCATGGTGGTAAGCATTTGTAATCCTAGAGCAGGGGAGGCAGAGACAAGATGGCCCCTGGGACTCATTGGCCAGGGAGCCTAGCCTACTCTGTGAGCTCCATGCCAAGGGAGACCTTGTCTCAAGAACCAAGGTGAAGGATGCTTGAGGATCGACACCTGAGGTCGATCTCTGGCCTCCACACACGTGTATGTACACACCTGTGCATTCACATGGACACACACTCAATTTAGAAAAAGAAGTCCTTTGATGTGCAGGGCTGCTACTGCTTCTTGGGACCAGCAGAAAGGTTGTTATGAAAACCGCTCTCCCACCCGACATTTCCAAACACCCTACCACCTTGAGACCCACTAGCTCAAAATAATCTTGGTCTCCGACAGACTTGTGAACCGCTCTGGCAGCAGCAGCCAGCTGCCATACCCTCTGGGCAAAGCTTAACACATAATAAAAGGGATATTTTAAAAAAGCAGTAAGGGCCAGCACTGGCTTCTTCTTTCAGATGTCAATGAGGATGAGATGCTGGAGCTTTTGCAGGGATCCTGTAACTAGGAGGAAAGTGCTAAGCTCGCTACTGATTCTGGTCCCTACTTCCCTGATCCCTGAACAGGACCCCAGAACCAGCAAAGTCTAGACTTCTTAGAACAGTATAGTTCGGGTTTCTGCTATTTGTAGACAAAATTCATCCCGACAGGGATATTATTTTTCTACACTAATGAGACAGCTAATATCGTGCTAATATTTGCAAAGCATTTCGCACACTTCCCTCACTGTATTAGAAAGTGCTAAAATGGATGTTGCTCTGGGGGAGAGTGCCAGTCTTGAATACCAGAGGCTCTGAGTTCTATTCCTAGAACCCTCTAAAATGGGCAGGGGTGCACATGCCTGTAATGCAATCCCAGCCACTCCAGAGGTGGAAGCTGGGAAATCAGGACTTCAAGCTTGCTCTCATCTGCCAGCTCTAAGTCCACCTGGGCTACGTTAGACCCTGTCTCAGAACACCAACCACAAAAGAACCTACTGTATAAATGCTTGTTAAATAAGGGTGTCAGTATAAGAAACTTAATTTTTATTTTTAAAGATTTCTTTAGTGGGGCTGGAGAAATGGCTCAGCAGTTTAGAGCATGTACTGTTCTTGCAGAAGACCTGAATTTGGCTCCCAGTACCCATGTTGGGTAGCTCACAACCACCTGTAACTTCAGATGCAAGGGGATCCAACACTCTCTTCTGGACTCTGCACTCACGTGTGCATATCCCCCCCCCCCCCCAGTTAAAAATAAATCTTAAAATACCTTTTTTGCATTATAAGAAAAATGTATGTTTGCAAAAAAAAAGTTTGGAAGAAATATGAAGAACCAGGAGAAACATTTTCTTATAACTTTCCACTTACACCTTCCATGAACATTACACATTTTTTCTTTTTTTTTTTTTTTTGAGACAGGGTCTCCCTATAGCCCCAGCTGGCCTGGAATTCACTATGTAGGCCAGGCTGGCCTCAACCTCATAGAGCTCTGTCTACATCTGCTGGGACTAAAGGTGTGCGCCACCAAGCCCGGCACAAATGTATTTTCTATTATTTATTTATGCTCAAAAACTGCATAAGAGGGCTGGAGAGATGGCTCAGTGGTTAAGAGCACTGTCTGCTCTTGCAGAGGACCCAGGTCTGAAACTCCAGTTCTCGGGGAATCCAACTCCCTCTTCTGACCTCTGTGGGCACTGCACAACAGAGGTGCATTTATACATATGCGAGCAATATACTCATACACGTAAAAGTAATAAATATTTAAAAAATAAAATCTTAAAAACACTTCTTTTGCAATATAAGAAAACTCATGTTTGCAAAAGAAAATCTGAAGCAGGGTGTGTGCCGGGTGTGTGGCACAGGCCTTTAATCCTAGCACTTGGGAAGCAGAGGCAGGTAGATTTCTGTGCAATTGAGGCCACCCTGGTCTAGCGAGTTCCAGCTGGGACTATAGGGAGACCCTGTCTCAAAAAGACCACACACACACAAAAAAAAAAAAAAAAAAAAAAAAGAAAAAAAGAAAATGGAAGAAATATGAAGAACTAGGAGAAAAAAAATTACTCATAATTTTTCCATTTCTAGCTCCATGAACATTTCAAATGTATTTTCTATTTATTTATACTTAAAAAACCACACAAGCTCATCTGTATTGTAAAGTGATCTTTTCCCTATATAACACTGCATAGGCATTGTGCCATATCTTCACATCTCTTTACAAACAGATCTAGTGGGACTATATTAATCCATGGTATCCCTGTATCATAAATAAATGTCTGCAATCAATGGCCTACCTACATGATGTCCACTTTCCTTAAGTTAAATACAAGACTATCTTTGTGTATATGATTGGTGTTTATACACTGTAATTATCTGAAAATCCAAAGATTCTTATAGTCTGTCCAGTTTTCTCAACATCTCAGACAAGAAATCTGTGTGTTGAGGTCGCCTCTAATAGACTGGGCTGATTGGGGTGAAATTTTCAAATCCTCTGGCAGAGGCTGTGCAAAGCAAAGACTGCAGGAATGAAGGCCTTCTTCTTGGACTGGTACTGCCCGGTGGCTACTGACAGCCCGTGGGAGTTCCATGAAAAGGAGGAGGAATGAAGCCCCATCCCCACAGCTGAGGATGCCTTCTAGTGAAACAGGACTGATGTCTAGGATGAGAGTTTTAGCACCAAGTGATGCTTCTGGTACCCAGCAAATGAACAATCCTTAGCATCCTGAAACTCACTAAGCATCAGTGACTTTAGCTTTGGGTTTTCCGGTCTGCAAACTGGGAATTAGACGGGTTTCTTTTTTTGTGGGACTTTTAAAAATGAAATGAGCAGATACTTGTAAATGGACCAATTCCCCATGTGGGAGCATGTCACCTAGTGGGGGGTCTCCCTCTTCAAACATGTCACCTAGTGGGGCCGTTACCTGGAAGATACTGAGATATGACAGGGGTGAGAGATGGGGTTTGGGGAACCTATGTCTTTCATGAGTTATGCAGGGAACACCCAAGGACGGGCTCCCAGACTGGCAACAGCAACAGCTACCACACAGAGCCAGGTGTCTCCAAACCCGGGCCAGGGCTTCTCAAACTTCTGAGCTCTTGGAAGTTGGTGAGGACCCCAAATCCCAGGCCTCACCCCTGAGACCTGCGGGTCAGAACCCGGCAAGCTGGTTGGAGCTCAGTTCCTGGACCACACTTTTAGGAAACAAAAGGGACTGGGGGAGAAACCAAGAATCTAGAGGTGCAGGGAGGAACCGATAAGGCTGTCCCCATCAGGAAAATAAAAAAAGGAACCCCAAACTCAAAAAGCTAGGCACTCCGGCCTTGCTGAGTGTGGGGAGGGTTTTGCCATGAGCTGGAGAGATCATCCCATCCGAGCCACTGAGGCAGAAGTTTTCCCAGCAGGCTTGCCTGGGCTACCCCATCTTCCCTCCCCCTGTGGCTGTGCGGGGAGATGGATGGTCCGCGCCCTGCGTGGCCTCCCCGACCCGAGCCTCCCCGGGGGTCCCTCGGGGCTGGAGCTGCAGCCCTGGGCCTGGCACGCCATGGGAAGCTGGGCGCCCCGAGCTCGCTCCCGGGATCCCTGCGCGGCGGGCTGGCGGCCGTCACCCCGATTTCGGGGCCCGGGCCTGCTAGCCGCGCTGCAGACGGCCCTGGGCCCGGGCCCCGGAGCGTGCACAGCGTCCGGAAAGCACTTACTTTGCACCGAGCCCGGGAAGCTGTCGCCCTCGCTGCTGGCGTTCATGGCCGCAGACCTGGGGGGGGGGTCCCCGGCCGGCCGCGGGGGGGGGTCCCCGGCTCGCTCTACATGGTGCAAGGACTTTTTCCTTTGATTTTTTTCCCCACCCCCCCTTCCCACCCAGCCTGCCTTCTCCCAACTCTGCGAGGCGGGGAGACGGATGTAAAGCTAGCTCCACTTCCGCTGCCTAGAGGGCGCTGGCCGGGCCGCCAGCCCCAGCTCGGCTCTGCAGCGGCGATTCCCCGGGGACGAGGGCTCCGAGGCCCAGCCCGGGCCGTGCGGTCACCGCGCTGCGCGGACCCGAGCACTCGCCCCCCCAGCTCGGCGCCCCGCCTGCGCCTCCTGCAGGGGTGCTCCCGCCTCTCCCGGCCTTTTGCGCCTGCCGGCCTGGCCTGGCGGCGACACCGCCCCCGGGGACGCCTGCGGGGTCGCCGGGGTGACCCTCATCCCGGGCCTGATGCGCTGCGGGCCTGGCTGGGGAAACCCCAGCTGGGCGTCCTCCGCTGGGCAGATCTGAGCTGCGGAGCCCCAGGTCCGGGGCTTAAAGAGGGTGGTGAACCCCGGCGTGGCGGTGCAAGGGATTCTGAGGCAGGTGGATTTCTGTGAGTTCAAGGCCAGCGTGGTGTACATAGTGAGTACCAGGGTAGCCAGGGCTACACCGTGAGATCTTGTCTTTAAAAAAAGGATATATATATGTGTATATATATATATATGTGTGTGTGTATATATACATACATATACACACATATACATCTATACACACATACATCTATACACACATATACACATATATACACACATATATGTATATATACACATATACACATCCATCAATATCTATATATATAGATACATCTCCATCTATATATTTTGATATCTGTATATATAGTATATATACAGATACCAAAATATATCTATATCCACTATATACAGATATCAAAATATATCTATATCTCTATATATTGACGATCAGGTGGGATGGCTCAGTGGGTAAAGGTGCTGGTCAAGTCTTATATCCACACAACTCCCTCAAGTTGTCTTCTGAGCTTCACCCACACCCCTACACACAAAATAAATGGATACATGTTTTTAAAAGGCTAGTGATGGAGTGGATGATGGGGGCTTCCAACATCACTGCGAATCACTGTCACCTGGAGGATGTCTTAGAGATGGGAGTTCAACCTGCCCCAGTAGTTCAGGTTCAAAAGGCTTAGGGGATGCTCCTTCCTGAGTTCCCAAGTGAGACCCTGATGTGGGTTGGTGTCACTGGCTGCCTGTCTGCACATCCTCATTTCTTTTCTTTCTTTCTTTCTTTTCTTTCTTTCTTTCTTTCTTTCTTTCTTTCTTTCTTTCTTTCTTTCTTTCTTTCTTTCTTTCTTTCCTTCCTTCCTTCCTTCCTTCCTTCCTTCTTTCTTTCTTTCTTTCTTTCTTTCTTTTTTTTTTTGGCATTTTTGAGACGGTCTCCCAGCTGGTCTGGAACTTGCTATGTAAACCAGGCTAGCCTCAAAATCACAGAGATCCCCCTGTCTCTGCCTCCCAGGTGCTGGGATTAAAGGTGTGTGGCACCACACCTGCCTTACACCCTCATCTCTTATGCTCTCTCCTCCCACTTTGGGGGGAAGTGCTTCCCTGTGGCTTTGCTAGCTGGGGATCCTACAACTTTGTCTCCAGCCTGTCTTCAGCAAGGCCGGTTCCACTCACCTGCCTCCGCATGGCCCTGACACCCTCTCCAGCCCTCCTGGCTCTTGATTCAAACCCCTGTGCTCTAGGCTTCCCTCCTGCCTGCCTTCTAGAATGTCTCACTTCCATGTCTCTGGTGACTCCATCCATCTACAGACTAAGACAGCTGTCGACATAGACATACAACCTGCTTGCATGTTATACCCCCTCCTTCACCCTTCCTTTTAGTAAATCCTCACAGAGGTGAGGATTTAAAATAAAATCCCTCTGCTTTGCTGATGTACCCTCTGTGACTCGGCCTAGTGCCCAACATAGTAAGCTCCCAGTGCATATAGCTTGGACCACGAATAACATTTTCTCTGCTGTCTCCTTTAAGATTTTTGTCTAAGGCTGGTGAGACAGCTCTGTGAGTAAAGGTGCTTGCCACCCAATGAGGCAAGCCTGAGGACCTGAGTTCCAGTCTCACAACCCATATAAATATAGAAGGAGAGAACTGATTTTATGGAGTTGTTTTTGACCTCCATAGGCACTGCATAGCATGACCCCTCCCCCATCACACAGTCGCATAAATAATACTAAATTTAAAAAGTCTGTTTCTTCAGTGATGATTTAGTCATGAGTGCTCATAGAGTGCTGGGCCCCACACTGGTCCCTGAACCATGTGGCTGAGCACACACAGGGCCTGCTGTGATGGACCTGCTCTAGAGGCAGGAACAGTCAATCAAATACAGTCATGGGCCATTGTACTCAATGACTGATGGTCTATGCAAGAATGAGATGATAAAGGAGTGGTAGAGATACGTGTATACGTGTGTGTGTGTATGTGTGTGTGTGTGTGAGACACTGGTGTCCACAAACCTACCATGCTGCTAATTGTATGAAAACTGAGTGCACAGCTATGCACAGCACATAAACCTCAAGGGTGATAATCCATGAAATGTTGCTAGTTTATGAATTTACTACACTGTACTTTGGACTGTTATTTTAGGGTGGACTTGCACTTATTAAAAATGCTTATTGTAAGTCGAGCCTAGTGGTGAAGACCTGCCATCCCAGTTTCTTGGGAGGCTGAGGCAGGAGGATCACAAGTTCAAAGCCTGCCTGGGCAACTTTGTGAAATGCTGTTTTAAAATAAAAATATAAAAAGTAGAGGCTGGAAAGATGGCTCAGTGGTTAAGAGCACTGACAGCTCTTGCAGAGGACCTGGGTTTGGTTCCTAACACCCACATGTTAGTTAACGACTGTCCATAACTCCAGTTCTAGGGGATCTGACATCCTCTTTTGACCTCCATGGGTACTGCATGACATGGATGTACTTACACACATTCAGGAAATACATTCATACACATAAAATAAAAGATAATAAAGTACTAATATATATATAATATA